TAAATGCGGTCGATTTAATGGTTTGCCTAATTTTATAGTTTGGCATTAATGTCGGGCTAATTTACTGATTTTTTTTTTTACGGTTTTAGGCCGATTCGCATTGATGTAAAGTGTATTGCTGCTGCTGATTCGCGTCAAGTTAACGTCTGATTCGCACTGATATATGCACTAATTTTACTGGTTTGCATCAATATAAACACTTATATTATAGATATGCACTAAAATAAGCACTAACTTTACTGATTTTGTACAGAATTAAGCACTTATATTACAGATTCGCACTAATATAAGCACTTATATTACAGATTCGCACTAATATAAGCACTTATATTACAGATTCGCACTAATATAAGCACTTATATTACAGATTTGCACTAATATAAGCACTTATATTACAGATTCGCACTAATATAAGCACTTATATTACAGATTCGCACTAATATAAGCACTTATATTACAGATTTGCACTAAAATAAGCACTAACTTTACTGATTTTGTACCAAATTAGCACTAATTTTACTGGTTTGCATCAATATAAACACTTATATTACAGATTTGCACTAAAATAAGCACTAACTTTACTGATTTGGTACCAAATTAAGCACTTATATTACAGATTCGAACTAATATAAGCACCAATTTTACAAATCTGCGCTAATTTAAGCAATAAAATGCGCTAATTTCACTGATTTAAACTAAAATAAACCTTAGTTTCACCGATTTTCTGAAGTAAAAGTAATAACTGAACTAATTCGTACCGAATTGAAAAAAATATTAGTAATTTCTGCACTATTTTAGACTAACTTTTAATGATAATTTCGGCACCAAGTTTAATTATAAATATTGAATTTTAACGCGTTCTTAACATAATTATATCAAGAACCTGTTAAAGCCGGACAATTAACTATTAATTGCTATTAAGTAAACGCTTATAACATATTTTTTCTGTACATTCTGTGCATATTTAAAGACGGACAGACAGTGTGAAGATGTATACAGTAAAACCTGTTTAAGACGGAACCTGTCTAAATCGGAAAATATTCTTAAGTATGGAGCGAAGAACCTGTTCAAGACGGAAATATGCCAAACAGAAGAAAATATTCGACATCGAACGATTCCGGTTTGCACAGGTTTCACCGCAAATCTGCAATATCAAAAATACACAAATAATTGTCATACAGTATCCTTTAGAATGGTTTTAAAGCATAAATATTAAAAAAAATAAATGCCGAATGTCTTCGAGAGAGAATTTTTTGACAGGTTCTACATCCATCCAAAAATTTTATGGTCCGTGGAGCGAGGTAATTCCCATAATACTTCAATTACAACGGCTCCTCAGGCCATTCACTAAACACTGATTCCTCATTAATCAAGTGAAATATTCCATATATAAAATACAACAAAACCTGTGTAAACCGGATATATTTTGTTCCGTTCAGACAGGTTTTCGTTTTAAACAAGTTCCGTTTTGGACAGGTTTTACTGTAATAATTCTTAATCAACTAAATTTAAAAATTGAGCCATTAATATACAATGAAAAATTATTGAATTTTAACAGGTTCTTAACATAATTATATCAAGAACCTGTTAAAGCCGGACAATTAACTATTAATTGCTGTTAAGTAAACGCTTAAAACATATTTTTCTGTACATTCTGTGCATATTTAAAGACAATTGTAAGCTCTTTCCAGGGTTCAGAGGTATGAAGGTTTTATGGTAGCCCATATTTTCCATAGGGCCCTAGAGAGTAATTGTGAAAAATTTGGTGTAGACCAAAGGGTTTAGAAGTGTATAGAGAACTGACGACCAGATAGACATTGTTTTTACGTATATTTATATATACACCTATGCATAAAAATAGAATGTCTATTCTCTGTACACTTCTAAACCCCTTTGACTGATCTTCATCGAATTTTTCGTAGTTACTCTATAGGGCCCTATGGAAAATATGGGCCTTATTACATATGATGTGATTTCCATCATAGTTATCATTATATAATAAAAATCAGGATGGTTTTTAAATTATAAGAGACATTTATTGCTTTAGTTTTGGACAACTCGGGTTTTTAGGGCCTTCAGAGTCTCATACATGTATAAATATATGCCTATAGTCCTGTTCTTGCATTCAGAATCTAGTATTAGTTGGTATCCTAAAGCTTGGGAACGGTATCAAATATCCTGTGATGAGGGATTTATATTATATAAACTTATATAAAAGAGAACTCTTGGGTCTTAATTTATCTAGGGACTTGCATAGCTGAAAACTGTCATATATAATAATGTAATCGNTAAGGCTTATTTGTAAAAAATTTTGTTTGATTTTTTGCAATTGTTTATTTTTTGTGTCCCATCAAATATGGAAGATCGAAAGCAGCATTTTCGGCATATTTTGCTCTTTTATTACCAAAAAGGTAAGAATGCTGTTCAAGCAAGAAAAAAATTGTGTGACGTGTATGGAGAAGATGTATTGACAGAATGACGGTGCCAAAACTAGTTTACAAAATTTCGTTCTGGCAATTTCAATATTGAAGATGCACCACATTCTGCATGGCAGTCAAAGCCAATTAATACAAAATAAAGGTACTGATTGAAGCAAACTGCCGAATAAGTACACTTGAAATCACTAACAGATTAAATCTGTCAAATTGAACTGTTTATGATTACTTAAAACAAATTGGTTTTGTTTCAAAGTTCGATGTATGGGTTCCATATGTTCTTAAAGAGAGATGCTCTCTTTGGTGGGATTTTAAGGAAATTTTTTTTGGAGCTTTTACTAGACAATTTAACAATTGATTTGAAAGTGTACTGCCATCGAGTAAACAAATTGAGTAATATCATCAAACAGAAAAGGCAGCCAGAATTGATGGACCAAACAGGTGTAGTGTTTTACCATGATAATGTCAAATTTCACACAAGTTTGGTAACTGGTCAGAAACTGTTATAACTTAGATTGGATGTGCTATCATACCAATCATACTAGCCAGATGGAGCACACTCAGATTATTACTTGTTCCAGTCTATACAATTTTTTTTAACTGTAAGACATTTACTTGAAATGACAATGTCAAAAATCACTTGGATCAGTTTTTTTGTAAGCAACGATCAAAACTTTTATGAATGTGAAATCATGCTACTATCAGAAATGATAACAACAAGTATTTGACCAAAATGGTTGATAAATAATTCAATAAAATATTCATTTATTATAAAAATATTGTTGATAAAAATATATGAAATTACTTTCCGAACAACCCATTATATAAAATTAATGTATTTGACAATTCGGACTATTAAATAATTCACTACAGTAGAATTTGTGTACTGTAATGATGGATCAGTTGTCTAATGTTATTATTAAAATCCCAAAACAGATACATTAAAATACACTGATAATCAGCATTGTGTTATAGTTATCATTGTGTAACTAGGCATCTTTTTACAGTATCAGTCTCAATGTATATCGAATAACTTGCAATTATTATGTTTAGTACTTAATTTGTCTACATGGACCTAATTTTATTACTAGGACTTATTATACTGGTCTTTATTTTTCACCTGTAAAAAATAAAGACCGTCTTTTCTGATATGTTTTCTTAAATTGCAGAACAAAGTCACCAGTATAATAAGTCCTAGTAATAAAATCCTTGTAGACAAATTAAGTACTAAACATAAGATAAGGACACAAAGATATATAATTTGTTGCAATTATTATGTCTTAACTAGAGCTTGAATGCTAGTAACTTTAATTGTTATTTGCTGACACTACTGTGGTTTAATTTTTGGCATTTCTTATTTCATTTATGTGATAACTGTTATGATAAGAATTGTTAACATATAATTTAACAACAAGCAAAAAACACTGTATGATATCAACTGATCTTTCATGATCAGTTTATCTTTTTCTTAACACCATAAACCAACCATAAACCAATTCAACTGTCAGTAATTCAAAAATAGAAAATAGTTACTTTGAAAACAAGTAACCAGTGTTGTTTTAAGTATTAAATTGTTTCTTATTATAATTTTATTATCTTGGAATGATGATCAATGTTTTTAAAAAAGATTTTAGGTAAATGAACAAGTAAATAGAATTTTCCTTTTGAAACTGAGGATAATCACATAAGTAGAAACAATAATCTATATAAAATTTACTCTTATTCAGGATAAAAATGTTTGTTTTGATTAAATTTAGTTGCTGGAAAAGTGTGTAATGTGTATAATAGTGTCTTCTTATGTATTTTATAAAATTATTAGAACCATGTCGTGATTTAGGTTAGCCTTCCAAATTACTACATACCTATTAAAATACATTTTGCCCCATTACTAAAGTTTTATACTCTTTCAATGAATATCAAAATCCATATTTACTTGTTATTAAGACTGAGGCTTATTTACAATTAATGACACTCTAATTTGATATAATCACACAAAGAGTAAAGCCACTCCCAGGTTTAGAAGTTTTTTATTGATGTCAGTTTGTCAAAGGTGCATTTGGCCCAAAATGCATAAACTGTCACATTAATTGTGAATAATCCTCAATCTTAATAATCTTAATAAAAAGTTTTATACATAATTTCTCATTAAAGTTCTGTCAAATCGTTTTCCTTTTACAAAAAGGTCACATAGCTTAGTTGAAAAAGAAAACAAAAAATGTATATAAAGAAAAAGAAAAGTTTTATTAGAACTTTTATATTTACATAAAATTCCATGACAATACTCTTAAATAAATCATGTAATTCTGTCTAAAAATATTTACAATTAATTAGCTGTTACGCAAATCAAACTTAATTAATATGAATAAAATTCACTTTCGGTTTCCCAAAACAGAGAAAAATTTTTTATTAATACATTTCTCAATTTAATTCAATAGAAACATTCTTAATTTATCAAATAATCTGTCAGAATAGATAAGATAGGAAAACTACTTTGAAATGCTAAATGCTTAGCATTTTTTTAGTAATAAAATTAGATGTTACTTATAGTTTTAATTAAAATAATACTTACTTATAATCAAAGTCTTTATCTTTACCGGATAAGAAACGTTCATACATCACTGACACAAATTCATTGCGGAAGAACTGCTTGTCTTCTTCATTTATTTTAGATTTTTCTTCACAATCTACAATATATTCAAATATATATATTTTAATTATTCTTAATTCATTATTATTAAACAAATTTGAATTTGTGAATTAAATTTAAAGACATTTCAAAAGATAAGAAAAAAAAAAAACAATAAATAATTGATTTTAAAAAGTACATGAATAAAATTCACATAAAACATCTAAAAAAATAAAAATACAGAAGAAACTAATTCATTTTCACACTTCTACTATGTCCAACCACAGGAACTTTGCAGAGATGATGTTTTATTACAGGCTACACATCTGCAAACTTATGTAAAATATTTTGAAATGCAAAAGAAGACTTTTGTTCTTGGTGTTTTGACATGATGAAAGTGTAAAGATAACTTAATTTATTCTATATTTTTAATTGTGTAAAAATACCATCAGCCATTTTAATTGAAATTACCTAAAAAATTGATTTTCTGTATAAACTACAGTGTGTTTCCAAAATAGTGAAACAGAAAAATACAGAAAAACAAGGCATATAAACATATGTCTGGAAACAAATGTTTTCAAGAAATCAAATCTCTTACGACAGTATCAGGAGCGAGACAGATTTTATTATATAACTCTCTTGTTAATGCTAGTTTTATGTTGAAACATCTCTCTAATGCAGTGATTCTCAACCACTGGGATGTGGCACACTAAAGTGCCGCAAGATTTTTGAAGTGTGCCGCCACTGCAAATATCCATACATGAACGTCACACAAGTAGTTTAATTGTTTCTACTTTCCTAGAGCGCATTTGTAAATTGTAACTGGTAACTGCCAGTAGTTACCAAGGCATTTAGAAAATGTGACCTAAATAACCAACTGCATTTAAAAATCATTGTTATAATGTTACCAGTTGTCCTGCAGTACTTACCGAAGTAATAGTGTGTGCTGCCAAATTTTTAAATTATTAAAAGTGTATCATGATGAAAAAAAGGTTGAGAATCACTGCCCTAATGTGATATATTAATATGCAAAATATTTTAAAATGATGTGAACACTAGATAAATATTTTTTTGTTTCTTTTCATTTAATTAAATTAGCAATGAAAGTGACTTTGAAACAATGAAGAAGTGGGATTGTTTGATATGTAAACATGTTACATTGTATAGGCATACATGGAATAATTTGCACATGGTACACCAGTGAACCTCAAACAAATTTTTTGGTGACTACTCATAATATATTATAGGTAGCCCTTATCTTATACAGGTCTACCCACCCGTGGTATAGGATAGCCATAAAAAATGGATCCTCTTAGATGATGAAGCATTGGTTATGTGAGTTTCCATACTATTTCATGAATAAAATCAAGTTTTTATATGTTTTCAGTAATTTTATTTTTGCTTAGTTTGTCCCATTTTTTCCAATATGAAGATTACAATAATTTACTCAATCAGTTAGTGCGGCCAGTTTTATATGGGACATGCCATATTATCCATTTTGTTCCCTTATAAAACAATCTATCTTAATCTCAATTTCAATTTGTTATATAGATGTTAACATCTTTTAAAGCATCCTGTATTGAGCATAATATTAAAATTGTTATATATGATAATTAAAATTATACAAGAAAATTTTCAGGTCATATTCCTTTACCTAATTCATCATCACTTTCACTTTCTTCTTCCCACTGTGCACATTCAAATTCTTGTTCTTGTCTTCTTACACTACAGCCATCACTTCTGTCCAAATGCTCAAGCAATAATGTAGAAAATCTAGAAAAACAATGCAAAACTGTTCTTAATATGCTTCAACATCCACATTCATAACTGAGGATCCAGGGTTAGAGTAGAAGTTAACCAATAAGCATTTCTATACTAAAAGTAACGTGAATGGTAATTGGTTAACTTCTAACTCTAACTCTTCTCAGTTGTGAATATAACCATAAATAAATTGAATAAACTTAAATTTGCAATGAATGGTATGATATTATCATTAAAAATTTATAGCAACAATCTGTACAAGTAATGCAAAGGTACAGCTTAATGTAGCTTTCAGATGGGCCAATTGGTTGCATCTCCTCATTGAAATCCTTGTATTTTGAATAATTATGAAGACAAAGAGTCAGTTTGTTGGTATTAAATTTACAAAAAAGCACATTTAATATAATACTTTGAACATTATTGACATTTATATGATTGTGTAAATTAAAAATGTTATCATTTTGTATTTTGAAGTCATGCTTTAATGAGTGTGTTAGTGATATCTGTGGCAAAAAATGCAAATTGAATGGCATGTCTGTCATCAAATTGATACATAATATCTATTATCAAAATTTATGATATGTCTAATGTTATGTTATGAAAAACAAGTCATGAATAACAGCAATATTGTAGTTGTTTCCTGACTACTGATACCAGTTACACTGATAATATTGGAGAGTATTTCTGCATACAGATGATGATCCAACTTTGAAATTTCCAGTGTACCTAAGACATGACTCTTCAAGGTTATCTTGTTTTTAACTAATAACCTAAGCTCTCTTTTGGAAATCAAAAATATTCTTTTAGACTGAATTTTGAGATTAGCTTCTATATTTACACTTCTATTATCAGATCTGCTTTTTAATAAAATAGCAAAATGGCAAACTTGCTGCTCTGAGATATCCAGATTTGAGATCTACGTCAACTAGGCAATTTTTGCAAGTAGATACGTCACCACTCAAAAAACTGAATGCAATACTTCAAAATAAACACACTAAAACCAAATATATCCAGCAAGAACAAACTTTAATACATTAAAATAAACATTTTTGATAATTTTAAACTATCATCATCAGGTTCAGTTATAACAGAACTTAAAAAGGAAGATAGGGTCCTTTTAAAACATCATCAGAAATTAAAATTATGTAACGCTTCCACTAGGAATGCAGTCATAAATTTTAGAGATGCACAGTCTTTATCTACATCTTGGAGATTATTTGAAATAATCTTTTCAACTATCAGTACTTTGAAAAATTTCCTTTAGTGTTCTATTGTAACTGAACCTATTAATAATGGTTTAAAACCATCAAACACATTCATTTTAATTTATTAATTAATTATAGTTGGTTCCCACTGGATAATTTTGATTTAGTGTGTTTATTTTTATGAGTATTTTGCCTTAAAATGTTTGTTCTATTTTTTATCATATGGCCACTCCTATTAAAAGCATGCTAAATGCATAATGGGCATGGAAAAGATTTACTTAGTGCTTACTTGTAGACTTAAAAAATTCTAATATAAATATTGTTTCATTCCATCTTTGAGTTATTAGTAAAAAGAAATTCTGAAGATGAAAATGTAAACTGAAAAGTTTACATAAGAACTTTTAGAACCATAAATATTGACAGTTTTTATTTATTTTTTTGTATAAGCTTCTGTTCTATGATTCTCTAACAGTGGCAATTGGTCATATTACTTATGCAATTGATGATATAGTACTATGATATTGTTACACTAACAATAAACCGTAATGTGACTTTTCATTTGTAAAATCACCTTTCTCTCTTTGTGTTTGCATAAACATGTGAATTCATACAAAAACAAAAATATAAGATGTGCATACAAAATTTTAATATGTTATTTTTATGTAAATATAATATGTAAATAATATTATTAATATTTATATACTTAATGTTTTCATCAAATTTTTCTGTCTGTTTTCTTTCTTCATCTGTCAAGAATCTACCAACCATCTGTTCGTAAAGTACAGGATTACGTTTTCGCATTTCTGATTCACTAAAATAAGTGCCCTGTTTGATCAGTCTCTGAAGAGCTTCATAACGGCGATTTTTTACTTTAACCGATTTTCTTTTTCCCGAATGCATCTTTTCAATTTCCATTACGTAGAAATTCACTTCATAGTCAGTTCTATAAGGTTCAAAATATTCCAAATCTTCATAATGGATATATTTGCCATATCTTCTAAGAAAAAGAGGAATATTTTTTTCTAGAATCTCTTTAGCAATTTCTTTTTTTTGATTAAAGTTTAAATCTTCTTCTCCTCTCTGCTGGCTTTTAAAAAACCCATCACTATTGGCAACGCAATTTAAAATGTTTTTAATTTTCTCATTTTCTATATTGTCCATTTTTGGACTTTCTTTGTTGTTTTCGACTTCCATTTCATTTTCCATATCTTTCAGTTTCATGTTTTCATATCTTCGAAATGAAATGAAATCTGAAATTATAAGTTCAAAATTTTAAATTCTTAATTATCAACATTCAAAATAGTTTGATAGAATACGTACAGGGTCTTCCAAAAGAGAATACCATTGTTTCAAAATATTGCATCAATAATTATGTTAATTATTATCTGAGAACATTGTAATGTACATTAAAACATTGGAAAACTGCCCAATTTTTCACATTTGCCCATTACAATTCCTCAATGTGTGCACTTCCTGTTACAAAGCACAAATTCAAACAATACTCAAACTTCCTATACTTGCTATGGCATATTGGTTGTTACTCCTTCCACAGCAACTATAATTCTAAAGCTCCTGCAGATTACTTCTGTTGCACAATGATCACTGATTCCGACTTTGTGAACTGCAGAACTTAAAATACCTCTATTGCATAATTACTTTTTTCGTTTACAGCATTTCCTAAGGTAGGAGACAATACAACATTCGAATGCAGACAGGAGACAAAACTCAGACAGTCAAGTGGTTTACTTCGCATATGTAAGGTAATAATTAACAATTATAGTCATTTAAACTAGTAGCATTCATTTTGGAAGACCATGTGTATATATAAATCACAAAATAAATAACATAAAAATTATTTATCAATACAATANAAAACTGCAAATGGAACAGCTAAACCAAGGTGCAAAAAAAGGGGGGACCCACAATAAATGAAAAAAAAACCATTAAAGTATTTGCTAGAATCAGTAAAACCTGCGTAAATATGAACCGAATACTTTTCCGGTTTCGCAGGTTTCCGTTTTATTCAAGTTCCGTTTTGGTCAGGTTTACAATATACAGTTTTTGGGGGCAACAAAATCTTTTAAGTGCTTAGGACCTCTAAAAGTCTTAATCCGGCCCTGAATTTTTACTAAGTTATTATTGGATAATGTTAGAATATAAATAATGTATATTATTAATTAACAGAAAATGACAGAAGATAATTCTAAAAATATAAAGATGCAAAGTGTAAATCAATTATTAAAATCTGAAGAAACTATTAAAGATTCTGTATCTCAAAAGACTAATTCCTCAGAAGATTTAATTGAATTAATGAGAGAAGAGAATTCTTCTATTCATTTTTCTCAAATTGTCATCTGTGTTAATGCCGATCGATATAATTTTTATTATATAATTAATCCTTATTCACTTACTAATAAAATTAATATTAATTGTGCGAATATAAAAGAGTCATCGAATGTAGAAAATTCAATAATTCATATCGTTAAGGATAATAAATAAAATTAATTTTCAATTAAAAAGTAATAATAATTTAATATTTATAACGAATTTACATCAAAATAACAATATGTAACAAGTGTAACAAATACAGATAGTCTAAAAAGGGTCTACAAATACAGTAGACCCCCTATAACACTGTAGATAATTCTGTGTTATATGAATTCCATGTTGTACGAGTCACTTAGATTTTACAAATACGTGAGCCATTCACAGCCCGGCACACGTATTTGTAAAATCTAAGTGACTCGTACAAAATGGAATTCATATAACACGGAATTATCAACAGTGTTATAGGAGGGTCTACAATATCAAGAGACCAAAAAAGTATTATTTTAACTGAATTTACAAATTATTTTAGGAATTTAAAGATTATTTTAAATTTGAAATAATCAAAGATCTTACATATAAAGATATACAGTAGACTATAAATAAAATGGCTGATAAAAATGTTATCAAAGATAAAAATGTGGCGCCATCTAGTTTTAAAAATTTCGTTACTCGAAATTATTATTTTAATAACTTGCCATATTTAAAATCTTATGTTATATTTTTATACCCATATTTGTGGTACACATAATTAAATTTTATTATGCAATTTTATAAAATAATTTATAAATAATCGTCACGATAAGGGCGTGTTTTGGTTTATTTTAGTATAGTACAGTATATCACATATAAAAATTAATACTTAAAGACTCATAAAACTAACTTATCATTATAAGTGTAAGAGAGAATACAAGTTTTATATTAAACAAATAAAAAAAAATCCAACATAGAGTTGCGTAACTTTCCCAGCAATAAAGTTAAAATTGCGTGTAGCGCCATCTGTTACGAGATTTTATGTTATCAATTAATTTAAAATGACAAAAGCTTCATTTTCAGGGTAGAGATGAGTTTTATTGTAAAAAAAATGTAAATGTTAATAAGGAGAAAAATTATTAAGTCTGACCCCATTGGTGGACCACGACCCTCTATATCTTCCCATCCCCTCGACATTTAACCACCAAAATTTAACAGGATCGATCTCAGCAATACACAAACCTCCCTGTAAAATTTCAGAAACTTTGAACAGAAGGCACGTGAGTTATTAAGCTTTAAATTGGGCAAACAAAACTGTGCCCTTCAAACATATGCGGTAATAACCATACATACAGGGGAAAAACCCACTTTTTTTTCTTATATTTCTCGACCGCATAGATTTCACCGGAAAGTTACTATATAGTTAATCGGGGCCTCATGTCCCTAATTTTTCCTGATCTGGGCTTTCATATATCCATACTCTGTTCTCGTGATTAAGGAAAAACAGACGGGCGGACGGAGGCCCTCAGTATAGAAGAAAAGGCCCTCTTAGTAGGACTACAGGGAGAGACCTAAAGAAGAAAAGGCCCTCTTAGTGCCCACGGGTGGGAAGCTAGGCACTAAGAAACGACAGTGGGAATTTATAACTGTTAATTTCCTTTACTTCCTTTAGGAAAACGGGTGTGAAATTTTTACTTTAAAGCAAAAGCATTTTAAAGGAGATAACGAATGGTTTATTGTTCTGATGCATCACGTTTTTTCACATTATACACGCGGATTAAAGAGGACTTTCTGTTATAATTTTTATATGATTTGTTTATTTTATAGAAATCCATTTATATAACTTGGATCTTAATCCAGTTTTATGATCTCTTCTACTAGAGTCAGAAGGATTTGGCTTATCTCAGTAGATACAGCGGCCTTATTGTTCAATCTTCTCAATGGGCAAAATATCTTCCTTCGTTTAAGAGTGTCTTTACCAAATTTATAAAGAACTTATTCTCTAAAATCCAGCTTTGTTAACTTATTAATTCGATTTTTCTGTAATATAAAGACTTGTACGTTTGTTTGTCTGTCTGAAATATCTTTGGGAAAGGATTGTATTCGCTGTGTGCGTTTGCCTGTTTGTTCGAAAGATTTTTTTACTGTTGAATGATATCTTCCATCGCAAATTCTACTCCATTCGCTTAAATTAATGTTAAATCATCTAATCGATTTCTATAAATGGATTAAGGCCTCGCCCTACTGCTGTAAGAAATATGGGAACCTCCAGCGAACCAGTGAATAAACCACTGAATATTGGTAGTTGGTTTGCACCTCTCTAACGAGATGGTCATGTGAAGTTTTCGAGTTTCCTTTTACGTGACTGTTAAGTTTAGACGAACCTAAATAGGGGCCCATTTCCTATGGAAAATCTATCCCTTGACAGATCGCCCGCGTTGCTTGTCTTTCTTTCATCAATCCAATTTGGCTGCTCGCATTGCGGGCCTAGCTTACAATGGGACAACAAGTTTTGTGAGCCTGACAAAACCTACGATAGGTATAGAAGAAAAGGCCCTCTTAGTGCCCACAGGGGAAAGCTATATCTATTGCAGATTCCCTAAGATGGCCTTTTCTTCTATACGTATCCTAAGTTCCTCCTGTGGGCACTAAGAGGGTCTTTTCTTCTGTACTTATCCTAAGTTCCTCCTGTGGGCACTAAGAGGGTCTTTTCTTCTATACTTATCCTAAGTTCCTCCTGTGGGCACTAATAGAGCCTTTTCCTCTATCCTATAAGAAAAGGCCCTCTTATTACCCACAGGAAAACATACAATACGTATAGAAAAGATCCTCTTACTGCCCACAGGAAGAACCTAAGATATGTATAGAAAAAAAGTCTTCTTAGTAGTGCTACAGGAGAAATCTGCAATACATATAGAAGAAAAGTTCCTCTTAGTAGTGCCACAGGAAGAAACATACAATAGGTATAGAAGAAAATGGCCTCTTAGACCCTCTTAGTTGAGGAAATAGATAAAAAAAAACGTTGATTTTTATATATTTTTTGTTTATTTTTCGTAGTTTGAATGTTCATATAATTAACTTAATTTAATTTAAAAATGGTTTCTTTTGATTAATATTACACTAATTTAATTTTTCTTCTTCTCCTTCTCTTTTTAGAAGAAAAAGACATCAACACATTTTAATAATTTTATTACAGAAATATAAATTTAATTATAGAGAAAAATTAAAAACAGCTTAATTTAAATTTACGAAGATTTATCAAGGAAAATTTCAATTTTTATAATTATAATTTCAAGAATTATTTCTAATTGAAGGGGAAGAAGAAGAAGAAGAAGAAGAAAAAAAAAATTAGAATTAAGGAACTACAAAAGAAATTAACCATTAATACTTTAATTCAATTAGTTGAAATTAATATTAAAAGCTAAATTCCTTAACTCACAAGTAAAATTAAATTACGGTTTGCATAAGCAAGCAAACGTGATAGGAAATTCTAAAGGTAAATAGATATTCTCTACTAATTCATTTAAAATTTAGATTCATTTGTAATTGTTCTTTGCTTATTGATTCAACCGATAGATCTCCATCTCAGAAGTAGTAGGCGATATTTATGCGGTTGATAAATACCACTGTTGTTTGTTAATGGAGTGATTTTTCAAAAGGCCGATCGCGCATTATCAGGAATGTAAACAGTAACATGGCGGTAATTGTTACTCAATTAAAACATTAAATTCTTCAATTCATTTCACTTAAATGAGCAATTTTATATCATATTTTGGTGGCTATTCGCAAAATATCCACGAGGTGTAAACCAGCGACTTTAGAGGGGGGAATTTCAGATCTGTTTAGTGTGTTTACACGACAGAAGGTTGGAAAATTGTCCCTTCCACAATAAATGCCGAACCGGACACGATCCCGGATCCTCCAGAGCGATACGAAACACGACAAACAATAGAAAACATTACACA